AGTTGATTTGAACTCGCAGTGGCTCTGCAAACACTGCGTAGAACTGGTCCTCGGCACTTCGGGGAGCAGAAAGCCTCATCTCACCCCCAGGGAGCTGCTGGTGGTTCCAAACTGTTGCCACCCAGGGCTCCTGAACACACTACATGGATATTTTAAAACAAGATTCTACTGTGGGTTTTTTTTTTTTTTTAGTTAAAGTTTACCCATAAGTTAGGTTTTCCATTAATGGACACAGTACCGTATGTGCTCAGTTAGTATGTGAATAGTTGGTAGCCTGGCTCCCTCCTCTAGACTGTACGCGCCATAGTCAGCTCTTTTTCTTTGGTCTCTTGGGGCCGTGCCTGGTGCGGAGAAAGAATGGGTCCGGTGTGTGCTGGATGAATAACTGTGAACTGTGGAGAGTACTGGGAAAGGAACGCGGGAAATCACAGCTGATAATCATAGATGGCGTCAGCTAACATTTCTGGAGCCTGCACCTCGAGGCAGGCCCTGCCCTAAAGGGCTTGCCTGCTTTTGTCATATTGGATCGTGGCCCCGAAGCTAAGAGACGGTGACTGGTAATATTCCCACTTAGCGTGAAAGAAATGGGAGGCACAGGCAATCTAAAGAAATTGCTGAAAGGCCCGGAGCTAGTTAACTCTAGAACTTGTAATCTCTACCCAGACTAGACTCTTTATGGGGCGGGGGTGGAAGATGACAGGAAGCATCTCTCTTTCTTAGGAATGCTGCTCTTGGAGAGGCTGCCTTTAGTTGGAATGTCTTCGGTGTTCATTTCCAGATCCTGTTCGCTGGGTGTTTGGATCGCAGCTAAGCCACGGGCTCTGGGAATGCATCGCGTGCCCCTCCTGGTTGTCATTGCCTAACCCACCTCTCTCTGTCAGCTCCAGGAGCGGGAACCTCTGCGCTTCACCCAGGGCAGTTTGGCGGTTTCCCAAAGGCTTATCCAGGATACCACAGGAGATGGCCTTTTGGGAGATGTAACCGGTATACTGTAGAAGGGATGACAAACTCTTGCGCAGTCAAGATTTTCCATTGAACACGTCTTCCTTAGAAATATGACTGACTGCAGAGGGAGGAGTTAGAAAATATTCCTTCCCTGGTGCTGTGGTCCCTCGGAGGCCCAGGTCATGGCCACTGGAAGCCACTTGAGAGGGTGCCCACCTCGATCTCCAAGGGATAAGAAATACTCATCACCTGACAGAGGATTGCTCTCATCTGGCTGATAGTACCCTTGTCCCTGGGTCTCAGCCTGGCCACCCACAACAGGCCTGTCCTAAGCATGATGTTACCAGGCTTCCTCCTCGATGACTGTGTTCCTTAGCAGCTCAAACAACACAGATCATGGCTAGATCACAGCTTCTGTAGGTGACCTGAGTTTCTGAGTTCGGGTCTCTTCAGGCTGTCATATAGGAGGTGATGGGGAGGGCTGCTGTATCACGTTGGAGGCTTACCCGAGGAAAGATCCGCTCGCTTACAGGCTTCCTCCAGCTCCTGACAGAATTCATCTCCTCGATGAGGCCCCTCTTCTTCTGCGGGCTGTCAGTCAGACACTGCTGCCTGTGCCTTACGGGTCACCTGCGTTTCCTTGACACACGACCCTTTCCATAGACCTCTCAAAGCATGGCAGTTTACTTTCCTCGGGCCAGCAAGGGAACTTCTAGCTCTAGGCTGGAGTCCTGTACTGTCGTCTGATGGTGACATCCATCACTTCTGTCATTAGAATGCATCGTTGCGTTCCTGGTCAAAAAGGACCTTTCACGATTATCTTGAAGTACAGGGTGCTGTCGATCCATATTTAAGGAAACCCAGTCAATACAACTATAATTTGAATTTATACGCCAACCGCAAAAGCTGATGATGAAGAAGTTGAAGAATTCAACCAACATCTTCAGCTGAAATTGGTCAAACCTGCCGTCAAGATGCATCGATAATTCTGGGCGACTGGAATGCAAGTTGGAAACAAAGAGGAAGGAACGGTATCTGGAGAATATGATCTTACTGATGGAAACAGAGACGGAGATCACATGGTAGAATTTTGTAAGACCAATGACTTGTTCACAGCAAGCACCTTTTTTCTCAACAACATGAAAGGCAACTATATACATGGAATTCTCCAGATGGAGAATAAATTAAATTGACCACGTCCGTGGGAAGAGACGATGGAGAAACTCAATGTCAGCAGCTAAAACCAGGCCAGGGGCTGACCGTGGAACAGACCATCAATTGCTCATATGGAAGTTCAGGTTAAAGTTGAAGAAAATTAAAACAAGTCCCCAAGAGCCAAATGTGACCTGGAGTCTATCCTATCTGAATTTCGAAAACATCTCAAGAACAGATTTGCTGCGTTGAACATTCAAGACAGAAGACCTGATGAAGACAGGTGAAGACATCAAGAGCGTCGTTCACAAGGGAAGCAAAAGGGTATTTTAACGGAGAAATCAAAGTGGATGTCAGAAAACGGCACGCAATTGTAGAGTAGCTACGGTAAATGGAAGAAATGAAGTAAAAAAAAAACGGAGCAGAACATTTCGAAGGGCAGCTCAAGACAAAGGAAGATGTTATAGTGAAATGTGTAAGGACCTAGATGTGGAAAACGAAAAAGAAGAAAAACACATGCTCAGTATATCATCCACTAAAAGAACTCAAGAAAAAATGCAAGCCTCCAGTTGAAACATTGAAAGATTCTCTGAGCAAAATACTAAATGATGCGGGAAGCATCAAAAGGAGACGGAACGAATACACAGAGTCACTGTACCAAAAAGAACTAGCCAGCATTCAACCATTTCAAGAGTTAGCATCTGCGCAGTGGTGTTGAGACTGGGCGGTGCTGCCTTCCGTCGTTCATAGGGTTGCTATGGGCCAACGGACTTACTGCAGCAGCAGCAGCAGCAGCAGCAGCATTGGCTAGAGGCAAATGCAGGTTCCATTTGGCCTCCAGGAGAGAGGTACTGCAAGGTGACGTGAACAGGAAGTGGAGGTCATTGGGGTAGGAGTGGGGTCACCCCAGGGTGGGTTCCCGCTGGAACTGTGTTTATCCTAGCCCTTGTTATGCTGTAGGCATGCCTAGCTGCGGGGGGGCGGGGAGGGGGGGTGTTTGTGCTGCTTTTTTCCTAGGGTCAGAGCCAGGGAGGAAGTCTCCATGACTGTGTCCTACATAAGACCCACGGCCCCACCATGCCCCCTGCCCCACGGAGTGCTGCCTGAGGGGCTGAGGCAGCACCATCTGTCCCCAAAGGGCGCTTCCGGCTTTCTCTCTCCTCCTCCCGTCACCCATCCCTCAGGACTATCGTCCTTTCATTTCAAATGGTGGTGCGAGTTCTTAAAAGCAGGGGACGGCCACTAGTTACTCACACATTCCCTCAACAAAGATTAGATTTGCTTTGCCAAGAGGCTGTCGACTGGGATGTGCTTGTCCGTGGTGCATCTAGAAAATGTGCAGTCATGCCTATGTTTTTGTTGGTGGTTGAACTTTTGTTCCTTTCAGCTCCTATCTAACTGGGTTATGATCTGATTCTTCTAAACAGCCTGAGCTACCTGTCCAGAGAGAGCCACTGATTCTAGGACCAACCACAGTGGTTATCGGATCCCATTCTAAAGAGTATTCCTTACCAGACTGGGCTGTGAACTGATTAAAGACAGACTTGACTCACCTCCCCCCACCCCCGCCTATTCAATTTATAGGCATCTTATTGAGTGGGTACAATGTGCACTTGTTTAAAATGACGATGGCTTTCATCATAATCATTAATCCTCTCAATAGATGTTTATGAAGGGCAGTCTGAGATGCATCAGGTTACACAGGTGCAGTCTGATAGTCATCTCTCTGTGACAAAGCAGCTGGGATCTTCCCTATTAGAACCGCACCCCTCCCCGGCCTCGGTGTTTGAGACCCAACATGGGTACATATGACAGGATGTCTTGCCTCAGCCATTCGTTTCAAATTCCTGGCCTCCGATCTTCTTCCTGTGTCCTCTGGTGGGAAAAGGAGTGCATGAGCCCAACGTGACCCAGGATTAAAGCCAAGAGGCCAAGGCTGGGAATTGGTTTATTCTTTTGGGATTGATTTCTTCCAGGCTGGCCCAGTTAGAATTGGTTTGTTCTTTTACATCTTAAAAGGATGTGCATTTGTGCCCAGCTCCAGAAAAAATATGTAAATCAAAAGCCCACCGCTGCTGGGCCCAGAGCAACCGTAAGAACAGAGCAGAGCTGCCCCATAGAGCTGGCTGGGCTGTAAACCTTTGTGGGAACAGACTGCCACACCTTTCCCTCAGGGAGTGGCCAGGGGGTTCTAACCAATGGTAGACCACCAGGACCGCTGAAAGGATAGGTTGCAGTGGAAAATCAAATCAGAGTAAGCTGTTGACGTTTGCTCAGCTCCTTCATGTGCTCGCCTTTGGATTGCATGTTAAATCATACCCACATGCTTAGCCCTAGTGCGGTCAGGTGTGTGTCGGGCTTCTAACCACCAAGTCATCAGTTCAAGCCCACCAGCCGCTCCCAGGGAGAAAGATGAGGCTTTCGACTCCCATAGAGGGAACCCTCAGAGGCAGTTTTACTCTGTCCGGTATGATTGCTATGAGTCAGAATTGACTTCATGGCCACGAGAGGCCCCAGCCCAGTTCCCGTGGACACTCTCCTAGGCCCTTGGTGGCTATTGTTGGTTTGATGAATGTCTCATTAATTCCGTTTTTCTGCCCCGTTGCTTATAAACCAATGGGACAGATACTCAATTCGTGTGTTGATTAACCTATCAACCTATCCTACGGGCCTGATGGCCCTGTAATGGTGTAGGTTTGCTAGATGATATCTTAGAGGTCTTTCCATGCCACGGATTTTTATATTTCAGTTGTTTACCCAAATCATTTTATTTGGTAGCAGTGTCTCCTTGCTAATTACCTCTCAGGGCAAAACCGGGGGCCTCCTTCAACATCAGTTGTGCTTTTTGTAATATTGGGTGCAGATCTCAGTCTGTGTGTGTATGTGCTTTTTTCTTTCTTTAGAGCTCAGAAAAGCGATCTCCACAATGACGGCTACATCTTGGAGTTAGATTGCTGTTCCTCCTTAGACCACCTGACAGACCAAAAGATCATCCCGGAGTTCATCAAGAAGGTAAGCCCGGCAGTCAGCCAGCAGGCACCAGGCTTGAGGGGCATTCGCTCCTGTGAGCCGATGGGGAGCTGCCTTAGAACATGCGCCTCCCACACCCGGGCTTTTGGGCTGCCTGCGGGGGAGCAGCCTTCCCACACTGGTCTCAGGCTGGAGCTGATTCTGGATCACTCTGACTCTCCCGCCCTCCCCAGCTAGCAGGAGCCCTGTCCTCCAGGCCCGGAGCAGCGGCCACGGCCGCCCAGTTGGGGCTACTCCAAACTCTGAAGGTGACGTGAGCCCCAAGATCACGCCTTCTGCTCCTCCTGCCGCCCTTTATGGCCCTGGTCACCCTGCTTTTCCCAGTGTGGGGCATGCCAGGTCAGTGGTTGTGGGCATGAGATTGTCCCGGGAAAATTGCGCAGTCTGCAGGAGATGCATTTTTTTCTTGCCCACAGTGTGTCTGGTTTTGAACTGTTTTTCATGCCATAGGAGGCTTTGTGCCTAATTGCAGGGTCCTCTTGAGTTTCCCCCTGATGGCACTGACCGCAGCAAGAATGACCCTACCCCCAGCCGGGCCCAAGGTCAGTGCTACTTGTGCATTCCATTCTCCTGTGCCGTCCAGAGCCCCCAGTCGGCCACTTTGTGAATTCATTCATTCCTAAATACTGCCGACTGGCAACTTCTTGCCCAAAATAGTACAAGTACTGGGCTATGACAGAGAACAGGCCCGTCCTCAGAAGACCAAACCACAGAGCTCACTGGGTGGAGTTGATTCCTATTCATACAGACCCTATAGGACCGAATCAGGAGCCTGGTGGCATAGTGGTTACACGTCGGGCTGGGATCCCCATAGTCAGCAGTTCAAAACCAGCAGCAGCTCTGAGGGAGACAGACTGGGCTTCCTGCTCCCATAAACAGTTACAGTCTCAGAAACTTACAGGGGGTCGCTGTGAGTCTGCTTTGACTCGGCAGTGACTGCTTTTTGTTGGTGTGTTTTTAAATTTATGGAAAAGAATCGAACTGGCCTCACAGGGTTTCCAAGGCTGTCCATCTTCATGAAGCAGACTGCCTCATCTTTTTTCCATGGAGCCGCTGGTGCGTTCGAACCGCTGACCTCTCGGTGAGCCTGCGAGCGAGCACTAAGCTAGCGGTGGGAAAGCAGAGGCTGAGTAACTGTGGTGAGCCTGACAGGGGGGGACGGTGGAGACTAAGGAGAGCATGGGTGCCGAATACTCTGGGTCAGAGGGGGTGCCTAGAGGTGAGATGGTGTCAGTGGGCCGAAGGAAACACGTTGAAAGCCTGGTTTCCATCCGATTGGGGAATGGACTGTCTTGATTGTTATCGAGGCAGGATTTGTGTAGGATTGGAACAGTCTCTTACAAAACATAAAAGGAGTGGGTTAAGCAAGCCGAGACTGGGAAAGCTAGAAGCCACACCACACAGGCCTTCCAGGGTGGAAGAGATGTTGTTGGCTGCGGTCGAGCCGGCCCCTAACTCATGCTCACTGCGTGCCCACGGGAATGAAACGCTGCCTGGGCCTGTGTCCTGTGCCATCTCCTGGATGGGTTTAGGATGGGACCAGTGTACTCTGTAAAGTTTTCATTGACTCATGTTCAGAAATAGATCACCAGCCCTTTCTTCCTTTTCTATCTCGAAGTAGGGAAGTCTTACCTAAACAGGTTCAGCATCGTAAAAACACATAAGCTATTGTGCCTGGGGAGCCTTGTCTGAGACTTGAACTCTAGTCTCCCACCTGGGAGGTGAGCGCTGAGCCACACTGGATGGGGAGGAGTTACTGGATGATGGGGCTGTGCTGAGACAGGGTGGAGGGTCCTCCAGGCAGAGACCTGAGCCAGGAGGTCCGAGAGGCTGGAGAGTAAAGGAGGAGGGGCAGGGTGGGGGTGGGAGCGGCCAGGTAGAGGCTGTGAAGGCAGTGGGATGCTTTTGAGAGGACTTTTGCGGAAGAACGGAATTATTAGTGTCCCCTTACCAGGTACGAGTTAACTTCTGGCCTCCCTCCCTTCAACATTTCATGTGTGCGTTTATCGTCTACAAGGCCCTGGGAATAACCAGTCTCGTGTGATGAGTCTGGTGGCATAGTGGTTACGGGCTGGCTTGCTACCCACAAGCTCCACAGTTTGAAACCACCAACCACTACTCGGGAGAGAGAGGGGCTTTCTACTCCCACAAGAGTTACCGTCTGAAAAGTCACAGGGGGCAGTTCTACCCTGTCCTATAGGGTCGTCGTGGTAAGTTGGCAGTGAGTTTAGTTTTGGTCTGGTGAGGGCCAAGCCCTATCGACGAGGAGTCAGACCATATCTCTCAGGTCAAACTTTCTGGTATTTTTTTTACTGGGTTGAAATGATTTCGACTGTGGTAGGATTCAGATCATTATTTAGGAAATTGGTAAGAAGAGTTTTTGTTCATACTTAAGCGCTTATTTGCCTTAAACACGAAAAGACAAGTGCTTTTATAGCTCCTGGAGACATCCGTGTAAAACAGGGTTGTTTTCCCTGCCTGCATGCATATCAAAGGCTTCATAAGCTTCCAGAGGGACATCCTAGAGGCGGAATGAGCCCACTGATCTGAGTCCTAGTGTTAGAGATGGCTGTGTCCTTAAAACTCCGGACCTTGGAATATGTGTAGTTATATGGAGGAGACGAGATGAGGTCACTCGCTGTCCACACGATGAATTGTGCTTCGTTTAGAGCCTGTGTTTTGATGTTTTTGTCCTCATGAACCCAAGCCATTGCCCGACTGACCTGTTGCTTTGTGTAGGTGACAGGTTTAAGGGAACATGGTTTCTGTTCCAATAGAGACGCCCGTGCCAAATCAGCCAGTTTTGTATATAACATTTACCTTTATCCCAATATTCTGCGCCCCCCCCCAAACATCCTCAACTTACTGTATACATATATGGACACATTTATATTAGATGACTCCTTCAATTATTACTTAAATAATAAGTGGAACCTGCCATTCTATATTTGTTCAATTACCTTATTTTTCATATTGGAAAGCAATATACCTTGAAAGTCTCCCGTGCCACCTTGCTCCTGCACTACCTTATGTTGCTTTCAGATAAGACCCCGTGGGCCCAGCAGACTAGACACCGTGTCTGATAGGGCACTGAGGTCTCCGGCCCGGAGTTGTTCCTTTGATGTGTACTGACTCCGCCCCTCTGTTCCTCTAAAGAAAAGAGGTGGCTGCTGGTTAGGGTTGGCAGGATAGATTTCAGACTTCGAGAAGTCCAGGCATGGGCAGGCGTGTCATTTATGCCCACCTCCTCGGTGGACGCGGACTGGGCTGGAAGAGCCGAGGCGCACTGGCTGAGACTTGAGCCCTGGCTGCATTAGCCCGTGCTCTCGATCACCAGGAGAAAGGCAGCACAAGGCTAGGACGGCCGCTTTCTCTCTGCTGCCCTTTCTGTGGCTGGTCATGACTTGGGGGGAGTACCACCTGTGAGAAAACAGAAAGGAAACGAATGTCCCATCCCAGACCCCAAAGCTAGTGCACACAGCTGTATTTCTTTCCTGTCAACACCCAGGTAGAGGAACGCAGGCGCATCACCCTATGAAGGACCACACAAAGAAAATCAACAAACAAACGAGCAAACCAGACGGGGTGTGTTCCTCACTGTCAACGTGTAATGGGCAGCATGGTCCCCGTTTATAGAAAGAGAGAGAGTCGCGACACTTGTTAATTGCCACTCGCTCAGGCCAACGTGAAGCCGTGTCACCAGCTGCCGGGTTTGTAGTCATTACTCTTTATCTGGGTCATTATTTTGTGGGAAATAATGACTCCTGCTCCTAGGACCAGTAGATCTGTCTTGCGAGGAGAGGGTAATTAACTCATTTTGTCATCGTACCATCCTGCAGGATAAGCTCACAGCCTTCTCTACGTATTAGAACTCTGCCCCTCCCATCTGAAGAACAATGCCCCAGTATTATTTTTCTAGCACATGTTTTAAATTAGGGACTCTTTGGAGGAGACGACATGGGTAAAAAGAAGGAGAGGAGATTTCATTACCCCTCTCAATTAGGCAGAATAAAGCCATTTGTCTCGGCATCGTGTAAAATCAGCGGAAGATGCCATAATTCACAGCCCTTGTGCACCGTGGCCTCCCACGGGGGTGAGGGGAGTTGTATAAAGATGACGCTGTCCCTTCCCGTGTCGCCTCATCATTCCTCTCGGTGCTTTTTGCCGATCACGTGCAATCTCGGTTACTGAGTTTTGTTTTTCCCCTCATTGTACCCTGCTGTGCTGCATCCAAGCAGCTCCTGATGTAAATGATCTATTCTGGACCACAAAACACTTAAAATGCAGAGGGATGGGCAGACTCGGGGAGAATGTGTTTTCAGAGCTCCACTGATGAACCATGCTGGAGAAATGGAGTGGCTCCAGCCAGTGAGCCCACCTGAATTCCTTAGGGACTAAAGCTCAGTCCTCCAGGTATGGCTGGAGGGAGCCTGCCTCATGTGCCTGGCAGAATGAGGGAATTTCCGATCTCCAGGGTTCCCAGAGGATTGGAAAGAAGACAGTGCCAGCAAGTGGGGAATCTGCAAGTTCGCCTTCCGATCATGTTAGGCGCTTAAGAAGCTTCGTGGGGAAGTGCTTCTATGTTTGAAAAGCCCTTCCAAGTTTTCAGAAGGAAAACTTGCTTCCTAATAATTTCATACAAGTGGGCAATGGAGTCTCCTTTCCAGACGTGAGGAGACTCAGCTGAAGGGTGAGAGGAGGTTTTCCCAGGAGCTCTGACTGTCGGGTGGGCTGCAAAAGGCCTTCAGAGGAGGTTCTGGGGAGAGAGTGCTTTGAAAGAGTCAGGGGTTGAGTCTGGGGAAGATGGCTGGGCTGGGGTGGGGTGGATTTGAGGTGGACAGGGACGCTCCAGGTGTGAACAGATCATGGACAAGGCCGGGGGCTGGAAGGAAGGAATGCTTGAGGCTAACACTAGAGCCACGCCTTCTCTGGCGGAGTGTGGGGTGGACGAAGGGAGAGGGAGCTGTTCTGGACAGGCTTCT